ATCATTTTAGTTGCCCTCCCCTCTCCCACCCTCTCTCTTCCCCTCTCCCACCTCCTTTTCCCAGTCTCCCCGAGTTTTGTTCAATAAAGAGAGTTTCTATTTTTGAACACACTTGTCCTTTATTTTGTACATCAGGAAGGGGGGCTAGGGAGGGGGAAGTGGAAGGAGGTGAGGGAGGAATGGGGTACGAGACCCCAATGGGGAGGACTGGGGTGGCTCTGCGGGCTCCTCGGGGTGGAAGCTCTCCAGCAGCCCCCCCGATTAACCCTCCCCCAATGGCAGCCTGTGGCAAGTGCAGCCGAGCTGATGGCCAAGTGCTGTGATGTGCCAAGTGTGGGCACTCAGGGCACTCCAAGCCAGGACTGCTTTGCAAGTGGGGAACCCCTGAGAACTGTCTGTCTGGGGTGGAGGTCGGGTTTCTTTAAGCACAGCCCTCAGCTAGCCTGAGACAGCAGCTCCACGCTCTAAGTCCTAATCTGATGCCCTGCCGGCACTGCTTCCGGCCATCCTTAACCTCGGTTCAGGGTCCACTCAATGTGGACATCCTAGTTTGAATTAGCAAAATGCTAATTCGAACTAGTTTTTAGGGCTAGATGCACTAGTTTGAATTAGCTTAGTTCGAATTAACTAATTCGAATTAAGTTAGTTCGAATTAGTGCTGTAGTGTAGACATACCCTGAGAAACTTGCCTAAAGTCTCCTAGGAATTCTGTAGCAGAATTGAAACCAGCTTTTCTGAATCCCAGGCTAGGATCCCAACAAGCAAACCAGCTTTCCTCTGGAAATAATGGACATAATTATACTGGCCTACTTTCCAGATGGAGGGCTGATGTTCCTGTGTTTATGTGGTACTTTGAAAAGCACTGCTGTATGTAGTGCTAAGTGGTACTGGTCCTGCTCCTAGTCCCGTTGAACTCTGTGGCAAAACTCCCATTCACTTTAGGTCCATTATTCTATTTGGCCTGAGTCTCCTCTCACAGCAGTGTAAATCTGAAACAACTCTGTTGAAACCCATGTTATGCTAGTGTAAATGAGAGACAAATCAGGCATTTTTATTTTATTTTATTTTATTTTATTTTACATTTCTAATTGCAAAATTGTTGTTCAGCAGAAGTGCTGACCTCTAGTAATTAACTGGGGTTTCTCAAGTGAAAACTCTAAGCACTGGGGCGGTAGTTGCTTTTGTTCAACAAGGTTGAACGACAAGTGCAGAGTCCTGCACTTGGGATGGAAGAATCCCAATTATTGTTACAGGCTGGGGATCAAATAGCTAAGTAGTAGTTCTGCAGAAAAGGACCTGCGGGTTACAGTGGACGAGAAGCTGGATATGAGGCAATGGTGTGCCCTTGTAGCCAAGAAGGCTAATGGCATATTAGGTTGAATTAAGAGGACCATTGCAGCAGATCCAGAGATTTGATTATTCCCCTTTATTTGGCTCTGGTGAGGCCACATCTGGAGTATTGTGTCCAGTTCTGGGCCCCCCACTACAAAAAGGATGTGGATGCATTGGAAAGGGTCCAGCGGAGGGCAACCAAAATGATTAGGGGGCTGGAGCATATGACGTATGAGGAGAGGCTGAGGGAGTTGGGTCTGTTTAGTCTGCAGAAGCGAAGAGTGAGGAGGGATTTGATAGCAGCCTTTAACTCCCTGAAGGGAGGTTCCAAAGAGGATGGAGAAAGGCTGTTCTCAGTAGTGACAGATGGTAGAACGAGGAGCTATGGTTTCAAGTTGCGGGGGGAGAGGTCCAGGTTGGATATTAGAAAAAACTATTTCACTAGGAGAGTGGTGAAGCTCTGGAATGGGTTATCTAGGGAAGTAGTGGAGTCTCCATCCCTACAGGTGTTTAAGTCTCGGCTTGACAAAGCCCTGGCTAGGTTGATTTATTTGGGATTGGTCCTGCCTAGAGCAGGGGGCTGGACTTGATGACCTTCTGAGGTCTCTTCCAGCTTTATGATTCTATGATTCTGGTCCTGCCTAGAGCAGGGGGCTGGACTTGATGACCTTCTGATGTCTCTTCCAGCTCTATGGTTCTATGATTCTAAAATTCTATGTTTTTGTTTGGGTTTTTTTCCATGCAGCTCTTTATTTTGGGGAACTTTTCAGCTGGAATCAGAGCTGATGGGGCTGGAAAAGTCCTCCAGATCACTTAACCTAGCCCTCTGCGTCAAGCAGGATAAAACAGCATGATGATCCTGCCATCACTTTAGGTATTCCCAGTCTTCAGGTATTTCAGCTTGTCTCTATCTGTGAGATGTAATTAGTGCTGCTGTGCCAAAACCAAAAACCAAACTAAAACAAACAAACAAACAAAATTTGGGGATCCAGGGAATGATAAAAATGACAATAAGTACTAACTTCCCAGTGCTGCTGGAGTTCAGATGGTTTTCATAGCTCTCTCCTCTAGCCTGACTGGCTCTGTGGTCCTGTAGCACATCAAGGCTTAAGTTTGGAGATACAAGTATTTTCTCTCTGGGGCCTATTTGCACAGCTCAGCAGTCCTAGCTTGGTGCCCTGCCTTCTTTTGTGGTACTGTATTATTAAAGGGTTATACGTCTGTCATCTCCATAAATATAAAACCATACAATATTAGAACTGGAAGGGACCTTGAGAGGTCATTGAGTCCAGTCCCCTGCCCTCACGGACCAAGCGCTGTCTAGATCAGTGTTTCTGAAAGTGTACTGCAGAAACACTTTCAGAAACACTTTAACTGGCCACCACTTCCTGCGGCACCCCTTGGCTGCAAAGGATGAAACGGAGCCAACAGGAGCCGCGAGGCTCTGTGGCCGTGGCACTGGTACATAAACAAACCAGAATGGCCAGTTAAAGTGTTTCTGAAAGTGTTTCCGTGGTAACACTTTCAGAAACACTGGTCTAGATCATCCCTGACAGGTGTCTGTCTAACCTGCTCATAAATATCTCCAGTGATGGAGATTCCACAACCCCCCTAGGCAATTTATTCCAGTGTTTATCCACCCTGACAGTTATTTTTCCTAATGTCCAGCCTAAACCTTCCTTGCTCCAATTTGAGCCCATTGCTTCTTGTCCTATCATCAGAGGCCAAGGAGAACTATTTCCCTCCTTCTTCCTTGTAACACCCTTTCAGATATTTGAAAACTGCTATTATGTCCCCTGTCAGTCTTCTTTTTTCTAAACTAAAGAAGCCCAATTTCTTCAGTCTTCTCTCATAGGCCACGTTTTCTAGACCTTTAATCATTTTTGCTGCTCTTTTCTGGATCTCCAATTTCTCCACATCTTTTTTTAAATGTGGTACACAGAGCTGGACACAATATGGCAAAAGTGACCAAGGAACCCCACAATAGCCTGTGTTATTCAAAATTTGGAACCAGAGTTTTAACACCCCCCAGTTTGTGACATTTGGATGTAGATACCTTAGAACAGCGATGGGCAACCTAGGCTAGTGAGTGGGCTGCATGAGTGGCCTCCTTCATCTCAATGGGCCTCTTCTGGAATAGGGAGGTTTGCTAACTGCACTTGTGTGCCTAGAATTTGCAGGGTGTGCCAATTGAACCATAGCAGCACTTTGGATGGATATAGATGGAGCCTTACAATATCATATGCAATCAGTCCACACCTCACTTCACGTGCTTTACATGCATGTCACTTTAATAATATTGGTAGAGGGGAAAAACCTAAGTGGACGGAAACCAGCAGAATCAGACACATGGGCCACATGCCTTAGAATGTAATTGTATGATTATTGTGGTCCGCTATTCCTGTAGTCCTGTTTATTGTACTCTGCTGGGAAGTTTGGCTGTGAGTCCAAATGCCACCCAAGTTGTGATCTGGGGATTTTGTTTGGAGCCATCTCTAGGGTGATGTACAATCACAGAACAGGAAGACAGTTCCTGCCCCAAAGAGCTTACAGTAGATCACCTTGCTATAGAACTAAGTTCCGTCTCCACTTCCTTGTGAAGCTGTATCATGATGGGTGTCCCTCTGTTGTCGTCTTCCCACATCACAGGAATACAGTCGAGGTGGGGAGTCGAAGCAGGCTGAAGGACCAGTGAAGGCAGTACAGAACAAGGAAGAAAACTGGTAGTATGTAACCTCCAGGAGAAGAAAGCCAACTCAGGTATCCCCAATTCCAGTAGAGGTAAGTAACTGCTTTTAGGCTCTCTGCACAGGCACTACAGTGGAGAATGTTTTGGCAGAGACCTCTCAGGGAAGAGATCAGAAGGAGGCACCATCGACTAGAAGGCATAGAATGCGTAGTCCTAGGGATGGGGGTTCCACGACTACCACCCCCAAGAGAAGACAGGTGGTGCTGGTCGGGGACTCCCTCCTACGAGGGACAGAGTCATCCATCTGCTGTCCAGACCTGGAATCTGCAGAAGTATGCTGCTTACCAGGAGCTAGAATTCATGATGTGACCAAGAGTCTCCCAAAACTGATCAAACCTTTGGATCCCTACCCCTTCCTGCTTCTCCATGTAGCCAAGAGTGACAGATCATGTAGCACTGGGAAGAAGGATCAAGGAATTTGAAGTGCAATTGGTGTTCTTGTCCATCTTCCCTGTTGAAGGAAAAGGTCCTGGTAGGGATTATCGAATTGAGGAAGTAAATGTGTGGTTGCACAGGTGGTGTCGGAGAGAGGGCTTTGGTTTCTTCAACCATGGGACTCTGTTCTAGGTTCAAGGATTGCTAGGAAGAGATGGGATCCACCTAACCAAGAGAGGAAAGAGCATCTTCACGGGCAGGCTTGCAAACCTAGTAAGGAAGGTTTTAAACTATGTTCATTGGGGGATGGTGACTTAAGCCCTGAGGTAAGTGGGGAAGTGGGATATTGGGAAGAAACACAAGGAGGGGGGAGTAACAAAGGAGGACTCCTGAGTTGAATGGAGAAGGTAGGGCAATCAGCTAGGGTATGTCTACACTACCCCGCTAGTTCGAACTAGCGGGGTAATGTAGGCATACCGCACTTGCAAATGAAGCCCGGGATTTGAATTTCCCGGGCTTCATTTGCATAAACTGGGCGCCGCCATTTTTAAATCCCTGCTCGTTCGAACCCCGTGCCTCGCGGCTACACGCGGCACGAACTAGGTAGTTCGGACTAGGCTTTCTAGTCCGAACTACCTAGTTTGTGCCGCGTGTAGCCGCGCAGCACGGGGTTTGAACAAGCAGGGATTTAAAAATGGCGGCGCCCAGTTTATGCAAATGAAGCCCGGGAAATTCAAATCCCAGGCTTCATTTGCAAGTGCGGTATGCCTACATTACCCTCCTAGTTCGGATTGCTAGGAAGAGATGGGATCCACCTAACCAAGACAGGAAAGAGCATCTTCGTGGGCAGGCTTGCAAACCTAGTGAGGAGGGCTTTAACCTAACTTTGTTGTGGGACGGTGACCTAAGCCCTGAGGTAAGTGGGGAAGTGGGAGGCTGGGAAGAAACACAAGGAAGAAGGAGCAACAAAGGAGGACCCCTGATTCGAATGGGGAATGTAGGGCAAATCAACTAGTTCTCTAAGGCGTTTGTACATGAATGCAAGAAGCCTGGGAAGCAAACAGGAAGAATTAGAAGCCCTGGCACAGTCAAAGAACTATGATTTGATTGGAATAATAGAGACTTGGTGGGATGACTGGAGCACTATCATGGAAGGGTATAAACTGTTCAGGAAGAACAGACAGGGGAGAAAAGGAGGAGGAGTTGCACTATAGGTAAGAGAGTAGTATGATTGCTCAGAGCTCCAGTATATAGAGGGAGAAAAGCCTGTTGAGAGTCTTTGGGTTAAGTTCAGAGGCAGGAGCAACAGGGGGGGTGGTAGATCAGGTGGATGAGGTAGACAAGGTTTTCTTCAGACAACTGAGAGAAGCTTCCAGATCACAGGCCCTGGTTCTCATAGAGGACATCTGTTGGGAGGCCAATACAATACTACATAGACAATCCAGGAATTTTTGGAGAATGTTGGGGATAACTTCTTGATACAAGTGCAGAAGGGGCCATGCGCAGCTTGACCTGCTGCTCACAAACAGGTAGGTACTCATAGGAGAAGTAGATGTGCGTGGCAACCTGGGCAGCTATGATCATGAGATGGTAGATTTCAGGATCCTGACAAAAGGAATAAAGGAGAGCAGCAAAATATACACCCTGGACTTCAGAAAAGCAGACTTTGACTCCCTCAGAGAACTGGTGGGAAAGATCCCCTGGGATGCTAACATGAAGGGGAAAGAAGTCCAGGAGAGCTGGCAGTATTTTAAAGAAGCCTTATTGAAGACACAAGAAGAAACCATCCCAAATGTTCAGTAAGAAAAGCAAATATGGTAGGTGACCAGATTGGCTTACCAGGAAAATCTTTGGCGAGCTTAAACACAAAAAGAAAGCTTAGAAGAAGTGGAAACTTGGACAGATGACTATGGAGGAGTATAAATATATTTCTCGAGACTGCAGGGGAGTAATTAGGAAGGCAAAAGCACAATTGGAATTGCAGCTAGCAAGGGATGCAAAGGGTAACAAGAAAGGTTTCTATAGGCATGTTAGAAATAAGAGGGTGATCAAAGAGGGTGTGGGATCCTTACTGGATGAGGGAGGTAACCTAGTGACAGATGATGTGGGAAAGGCTAAAATAGTCAATTTTTTTTTTTGCCTCTGTCTCCACAGACAAGGTCAGCTCCCAGACTAATGGGCTGTGTCTACACTGCACCTCTTTTCCGGAAAAGGGATGCAGATTAGACACATCGTTATTGCAAATGAAGTGGGGATTTAAATCTCCCCCGCTTCATTTGCATGAACATGGCTGCCGCTTTTTTCTGTGGTTCTTCTCTTTGGGAGGTTACAACTAGCAAGACGAGTGCCCAGCCAGCCTTCTAGAGCCAAACACTGGTCAGTCTGAGCAGCAGCAGAAAAGTGAAACATTGGAGAATCAGAGGGTTTTCAAGGAACAGTCTGTCCACGTCTCTGACCTTAGGCTCCCATTGAGTCGAGTTTCCTGGCACGCTGAGGACCTCTTCATGCCTGAATAACAGTTCCGGGGTCACTGTATGCTGGACAGTGGGAGCCCTGGGACTCAATATTTAACATGGTACCCACAGGGCCTATCACCACTCCCCATACTACAGACTGACAGACCAGAACCTGAGGAGAACCAGTCAGCTGTTAATACGAAGAAAGAAAAGTTACTTAATGTTTGTTTGTAGACATGCACCCTTAATGAGGGTGGAAATGCTGCAACCTGATGACCTTCTTTGATGAAGTAACTGGCTTTGTGGACACGGGGAAGTGAGTGGATGTGATATACCTTGACTTTAGCAAGGCTTTTGATACGGTCTCCCACAGTATTCTTGCCAGCAAGTTAAGGGATGATTTAGTTGAGTTGGTCTTACTTTGAGCAGTGGACTGGACTCAATGACTCCTGAGGTCTCTTCCAGCCCTAGTATTCTATGATTCTAGAATACTAGGGCTGGAAGATCTGATAAGATCATGCAGATGCCTAGGATAGTATTGTGGGCTTCGGAAGATCTGGATTCTTCTCCTTGCCCTGGCACCAACTTCTGTGTGACTTTGGCCAAGTCACTTGACAGTTTTGCACCCCAGTCTTCCCATCTGTAAGGCAATGTTTTTCTTCTTTTGTAAAACACTTAGGCTGTGTCTACACTGGCATCCCTTCCGGAAAAGGGATGCTAATGTAGCACTTTGGAATAGGCTGTTTGCAGATGACACTAAGCTAAGAAGAGAGGTAGATACGTTGGAGGGCAGGGATAGGTACAGAATAGGTACACCCAAGATCACTTTTTAAATGACAGACCAAGCCAAGATCTGCCGCCCCGCCCCTTCCTTGAAGCCCCGCCCTCTCTATTCTCCTCATCTCCATCACTTGCTATCCCCAATTCTTATACCGCTGCTTTTTTAAAAAAAATTCTTCTGTAGGAATAGGTTTTTCCAACATTTGGCCTGTCTAGACTGGACCAAATGTCAGAAAAAAACCCCTTTTTTTGGAAGCCCCCTTATTCCTAGTGGAAAGAGGAATATAGGGGTGACCAAAAGAGCATGTTTGCTCTTCCACTAAAAAAGCGGAAGAACAAACGCAACCCTGGATGCAGAAGAATTTTTCTGGGATATCTCCAGAATCCTGAAAAACTCCAGCAGTCTAGCCGGACCCTCACTGGGTTGAGACAGGATGTGCAGTCTCTGGGGTGGGAATGAGGGATTTGGGTGAGGGAAGGGGTGAGAGGTGCAAACTCTGGGAGGAAATCTGGATGCAGGAGGAGGTGGAGAAGGGGACGCTGGCTCGGGGAGGGAGCTCCAGGCCGGGCAGAGTTGGGGTACTAAACAAGTGACAGGCTCGTGGATGTGAGGGTACAGGAATTTGGGTTGGGGTACGTGAGGGGCTCAGGGCAGGGTGTTCCAGTGTTTCCCCCCCTCCCCCCACCGCCCCACTACAGAAAGGATGTGGATGTATTGAATAGCGTCCAGCCAAGGGCAACCAAAATAAATAGGGGGCTGGAGCACATGACCTACGAGGAGAGGTTGAGGGATTTGGGCTTATTTAGTCTGCAGAAGAGAAGAGTGATGGGGTGGGGGAGATTTGAAGCAGCCTTCAACTTGTTGAAAGGAGGTTCCAAAGAGGATGGAGAGAGGCTGTTCTCGGTAGTGGCAGATGGCAGAACAAGGAGCAATGGTCTCAAGTTACAGTGGGGGAGATCTGGGTTGGATATTAGGAAAAACTATTTCCCTAGGAGGGTGGTGAAGCATTGGGATTGGTTCCGTAGGGAGGGGGTAGAATCTCCATCCCTAGGGGTTTTTAAGTCTCGGCTTGACAAAGCCCTGGCTGGGATGATTGAGTTGGGATTGGTCCTGCCTTGGGTAGGGGGCTGGACTCAATGACTCCTGAGGTCTCTTCCAGCCCTAGGAGTCTATGATTCTATGAAGCTGCCATTACTATAGAAATTGCCTTGAGGACTTGAAAAGCAGTGGGATGGAGCTGATGGGAAGGGGAAAATCAGTGCCCACAAAGGCTGCCCAAAAACAAGGAAAGGTACTAAAGTGGGTGGGGTGATCTGAGCTGGATATCACAGCTCCCAATATCAAACACAAAGGGCATTTAGAGCAGATTTTGCCACAGCACTCCCTCTCGTCAGCTCCCCTAATGCTCTCTCCTCTGATA